ATCCACAAAGCCACGAGATTCCACCAACGGAGGTGAGGAGGACCGAGTGACAGAATCCCAGCGGGGGGACTCTGTCCCCCAGAGACGCTTTGTCCTCGTGGTGGTGAGGAGATTCATGGTCCCCCCGCCGGCCTGTCCCCTCTGCCTCTGTGTCCTCAGGTTATTCGAGACCCTCCAGTCTCTCTTCTGGTCCATATTCGGGCTGCTCAACCTCTACGTCACCAACGTGAAGGCCCGGCACGAGTTCACCGAGTTCGTGGGGGCGACCATGTTCGGCACGTACAACGTGATCTCGCTGGTGGTTCTGCTCAACATGCTGATCGCCATGATGAACAACTCGTACCAGCTGATCGCCGTGAGTCTCTCACACACACACACACACGCTTGACTCTTGTTGTCCCGGGTCTGAACCCTGAGGGTTGAGACCTCAGCTACAATAAGTGTGAGTGACGTGTTCAAGGACCGTCTGAAAGATGAAGATGAAAATGAGATAAACGTTGGCTTTTTCCAGATGTTTAAATGAAAACGTTCTGTTCAAATCCCGGCAGCCTGCCGTTGGTCCTCAGGGGCTTTAAAGCATCACGTCTCCTTTAATTTGTTTCACGTAAACCCATCACAGCTGTTTGACCCCCCCTGCAGGACCACGCCGACATCGAGTGGAAGTTCGCCCGCACCAAGCTGTGGATGAGCTACTTCGACGAGGGCGGCACGCTGCCGCCTCCGTTCAACATCATCCCGAGCCCCAAGTCCATCCTCTACCTGCTGGTGTGGCTGCACAACAAGCTGTGCAGGGGGGGCACGGCGCCCGGCGAGGAATCGCACAAGTGCGAAAACCTGCGGGAGTTCACGGTCAGTGAAGGCATCGTCGTTATTTAGCATTTAAAACATTCGTGGGGTCAAAGACGATTAAATCCTGAAGTTTCCTTTCTGTTCTGCTTTTAATGGAAATGATATTTTGATATTCAATAACTTAAGTACTCTTCTTATTCACAACTCTGAAGTACAGTAGAACATCGTAGTTTATAGAACATGATCCATTTTTACAGGTTTAAAAGATACTAAATTATAGTAATACTGGTATTTTAATACAACAATGATAATGATGCAGTTACATAATATTATACTGACAGTAACAATACTCACACACATTTTGTTGCTTTTACTTCTGTAATTGTGAATGCAGGACGTCTAACACTGTGTTTTTTTTTCCATACTTGTACTTTTACTTTTTCCACGACTAAAATAAGCACAAATAAAGAGCACAGCGTGATATCAGCTGTGCTGAGCACAGAAGGAACATCGGCAGATAAACACGTCCTAATAAACACATTTAACGGTCCAGTCATCTGGAGAGACGCACTGTGAGCAGGAAGCAGTAACACACGCACGCACACACACACACACACACACACACACACACACACACACACACACACGGTGCAGCTGGCATGTTCACCTCAGCTGAAATCAGCGGAGTTACATAAGCCGACCGGCCCACATAAGTTCACAGAGCCACACAGCGCTGCAGAGATGTGATCAAGGGAGGGAGACCGTGTGCGTGTGTGCGTGTGTGTGTGTGTGCGTGTGTGTGTGCGTGTGTGTGTGTGTGTGTGTGTGTGCGTGCGTGTGTGTGTGTGTGTGCGTGATCTGACGGCACGCTGCATGAGATGCAGAAGGAGGTAACAGGCGAGGAGGAAGAGGACGAATGAAAAAGTGCGATATCTCAGATCGGGGCCCTCATGGCGCCGGCTAACGCTGCTAGCGGCGCTAACCTGAGGGGGTGGGTGTGGGGGGGACGCCGTCCGCGGCAGTAAAAAAAAAACAAATACCAATTGTGAGATGATTTTAAATGTGTTGAACAACACTAAACGTGTCGTTTCCCGTTTTCTTCTTCTGTGGTGCCGGTCGCCGTCCGCCTGAAGGAGAGAAGAAACGTGGTGAATGTGAGCAGCTCGTTTGACACCATCTCCTCTCTCTGTTTGCAGGAACGCCACGCCGACAGTCTGATCCAGAACCAGCATTACCAGGTCAGCGCCACCGCGTGACCTTCTCGTCTGACTGCTGACACGCGAGCCCGTTTGCTAATATGTAGAACTCAACGTGTAGATACGCGCCGCCGAGACCTGAAGGGAGACATCAGTCACTCTGATGTCTCTGTTCTCTGTTGAGGATTTGCTAGACGCCTCGGCGCCTCGGCGCTGGCAGCCGGCGGAACGCCGCGAGGCCAGAACTTTGTGTCCGGCGCCGCTGATTCTCGCTCTGATTGGCGTCCATCTTTTCTTTTTTTTGGATTTGGATGTTGTGGGAATCTGCCCTTCACTCTCGAGTGTGTGGTGTGTGTTTTTTTTTGGCCAAAGCGAAGAGCGACAGCATGCCAGACCGTCCCTCTGGCAGGTGTTGACTGTGGGAGGGTGTAGTGTGTGTGTGTGTGTGTGTGTGTGTGTGTGTGTGTGTGTGTGTGTGTGTGTGTGTGTGTGTGCGTTTGTGCGTGTCTGATTTACTGCCGACTGATCATCAAATGCTCGGTCTTTAAAACGCGGGTCACTCGCCTCATTGGCTGACTACTTAATGAAATGAAAAATATGACATTTGAATTCATCAGTTGGGTTGAAAGAATCCGCCAATGCGTGTCAGATATTTATTATTCAGATTGGTTAAGATCCACTTCATCCTCTTTATCCTGACAAAATAGTTAAAAACGTCCTGAACATGGTCCGTGAACTAACAGCTCTGCGAGGTAACCTGTCCGTAACCGTGGCGACTGTCTCCCAACAGGAAGTGATCCGGAGCCTGGTGAAGCGGTACGTGGCGGCCATGATACGCAGCGCCAAGACGGACGAGGGGCTGACGGAGGAGAACTTTAAGGTGGGTGCGTCGGAGGACGAGCGGCGCTGCCGATCGACGCGCCGGCCTCAGGCCGCAGATTCAAACCTCCTGAGCCCAAAAAATGACTCGCCGGCGTTTTCGGCCCCCGGGGGGAGTCTGATCCCGTGAAGTGGAGAAGTTTCCTTTGGGGCCTTTTTTTCCGACCCAAAAAACAACACCAGGTGCACTTCGAGCTGAATCACATCCCCCCCCGAGTGTGTGTGAGTGTGTGTGTGTGTGTCTGTGTGTAATAAAATGTGGTGCAGGCTGAAGCACATCACAGGCTTTTTGTCCTCTGAGGAATGAAGCGCGTGTGGGTCCCATGCGGCGAGTTGGAAATGATTACGCTGTGATTGCATCTCAGAGATGAAGGAGCAGAAGTGCAGCAGAGTTGTCGGCTCCTCGGAAGGAGACGCACTTTTTAGTGGAGGTAAACAGAGTGGAGAGTTTTTTAGGTCTATGTCAGCCTTTATGTAGATGCTGAAGCTACAGGCGGAGTTTATTATATCTTATTATTATTTAGTATTCAAGGAATTAAGTGATTAAGTTAAGAGAGAGTTCACTGGCGCCTCCTTCCTCCCTTGACTCCCCAACGCTCCCTTTTGCTAGTCTCTTGACCTCCGTCTCTTCTCTCCTCACCAACAAGGCCGTGGCCTCCTCTTCACCTTCCCTCTCACTCAATCATCATCTCCTCTCGTCCACTTCCCCTCCTCACCCCCTTCTGCTCATATTTATTCCATTTCAAGGACTTTGCAGCCCTGCCGGTAAAATGTACTCTTTTTGTCCTTGATGTTTTAAACCGGAAAGTAATCTCAAATTCTGAAGAGTGAAATCAATGCTGTTGAGTTTTGTTAAAGCTGCATTCTGTGTGGTGACCAGCAGGGGGCGACTCCTCCGCTCCCATAGACGTCTATGAGAAATTTACTCTTGATTTATTCCCTCAGTAAACATTGTAAACACGAGTTTATGGTCTCAGTCTCTAGTTTCAAGTCTTCTTCAACACAACATGATGTTCATTTAGTGACTTATGGTCCATTTAGAGTCAAACAGAAAAACAGGGGATGCTTTAGGGCGGGGCTACACGCTGATTGACAGGTCTATACTCGAGACATATATTCGAGGAAGTCTACTTTGACATTTTAAAGTGACAAAAATTGTTTAAAAACATTAAGTTTATGAGTACGTGTTTCCCTCCAGGAGCTGAAGCAGGACATCTCCAGTTTCCGCTACGAGGTCCTGGATCTCCTCGGCAACCGCCGTCCTCCCCGGCGACACTACTCCTCCTCCAGCGAGGCGGCGAGAGACGACGGCGGCGTGGCCTCGGAGGACGACAGCGAATCGGGCGACGGCGCCGGGGGCTCGAGGTCAAAGGGCGTGACCTTCATGAACCCGCTGCAGGACGAGGACAGGCCGTCGCCGACGCTCGGCGTCTCCGCCCTGGTGCGCTCCGTGTCCGGGATGCCCCAGCAGGAAGGAGGCGAGGAGGGCGAGGAGGAGGAACTGGAGGAGGGCGTCAGGTGGGGGGAAGAGGAGGAGGAAGAGGAGGCGAAACCAAAGAGCAACGGGCTGAGGACGGCCGTCGTCCCTCCGTCATCCACCCATGTCCTCCCGTCCCCGTCCTCTTCCTTCTCCACCTCCTTCTCCTCGTCTTTCGCCCGCACCAGGAGCCGACTCCAGCGCCTCTCCAGTCCGGGGTCGAAGACGGACTCTTTCAAGCGTCTTTCCTACCTGTTTTCGCGCTCCAAGCGCCGGGCCCCGCCCATGCCGCTTCCCCTCCGGTCCCCGCCCTCTTACACCATCTCCGACGGCCTGCTCCGCCCCCTGGGGGGCCACGGCCACGGCGTGACCCTGAGCGAGACCCGCCTGAACGAGGTGGGCCGCTCGGTGGACGTCGGTCGGCCCTCGTTCTCGCCGCGGAGAGCGAACGGGCGGGACTCCCTGCTGACGCTGCCCCTCCCCCCCCCGTGCCCCTGCCAATCCCTGCACTGTGCTTCCAACATGTCCGAGTCGAGCTCGCGCCTCCCGGACTCCAGCGAGGACGTTTTCCAGGGTGGGGGCGTTGGCGGGGCGGGCGTGGACGGAAGAGGCGAGGTGACGATCGTCGCGTGGGTGCGACCCTGCGACCACGTCTTCCAGGACTCAGTGACCACGCAGCTATAGGAGGGACGGACGGACAACAGATTTTCTTTGTTTTGTTTGCAAAAAACAATATGGCTGACACATTCAGGGGAAAAGAGACGGAGAGAGAGACATTCTGCTAACGGAGCAGATTCCAGAGATGATCCTGAAATGGCAGATGTTCATAAAAATAGTTTGACATCATAACTGGGTCGGAATATGACGGGTGACACGTTATTGTTTAATCTCGCTAGATAGCTAAGGGAGCTACCAAGCTAACATGCTACTGAGTGGGCTAACTAGTTAGATAGCAAAGGCAGCTACTAAGCTAACTTGCTACTGAGTGGGCTAACTAGCTAGATAGCTAAGGCAGCTACCAAGCTAACTTGCTACTGAGTGGGCTAACTAGTTAGATAGCAAAGGGAGCTACTAAGCTAACTTGCTGCTGAGTGGGCTAACTAGCTAGATAGCAAAGGGAGCTACCAAGCTAACTTGCTACTGAGTAGGCTAACTAGTTAGATAGCAAAGGGAGCTACTAAGCTAACTTGCTACTGAGTGGGCTAACTAGTTAGATAGCAAAGGGAGCTACTAAGCTAACTTGCTGCTGAGTGGGCTAACTAGCTAGATAGCAAAGGGAGCTACCAAGCTAACTTGCTACTGAGTAGGCTAACTAGTTAGATAGCAAAGGGAGCTACTAAGCTAACTTGCTGCTGAGTGGGCTAACTAGTTAGATAGCAAAGGGAGCTACCAAGCTAACCTGCTACTGAGTAGGCTAACTAGTTAGATAGCAAAGGGAGCTACTAAGCTAACTTGCTACTGAGTGGGCTAACTAGTTAGATAGCAAAGGGAGCTACTAAGCTAACTTGCTACTGAGTAGGCTAACTAGTTAGATAGCAAAGGGAGCTACTAAGCTAACTTGCTGCTGAGTGGGCTAACTAGTTAGATAGCAAAGGGAGCTACCAAGCTAACCTGCTACTGAGTAGGCTAACTAGTTAGATAGCAAAGGGAGCTACTAAGCTAACTTGCTACTGAGTGGGCTAACTAGTTAGATAGCAAAGGGAGCTACCAAGCTAACCTGCTACCCGTGTGGGCTAACTAGCTACATAGCAAAGGGAGTAACTAAATTAATAAGCCGTTAACATACAACATTTTTTTTGCAGCGCCAAATCCACCGTTGGTGATGATGACGGCTGCAACACTATTTTAGAAATGGTTTGTGTCGGGAGGCCGTGTGTGAGTAACAATCAGAGCTGGCAGATGAAAGAGAAGTTAATCATTTTAATGCAGGACTTGCCCGAACATCCCCTACCGTCCCACTGAATACATCCCACGTCACTTTACTGTTGCTGTTTCCCAATTCTTTCCCATCGCCCACGTATAGAAAATGGCCTTTTCTCATCACGCTAAGATTCATTGTTTCATTTAAATTGACAGCGGTCGTGAATTTTGCCTTCTTCATCACAAACTGTCTTTATCAACGTCTGCCCCTTTTCCACGACACAAGAGGACGATGGAGGTTTAAAGGGACAGTACGCGTTTTCTTTTCTTCTGTGTTTTTTTGGGAAGGATCTCAGGCGCATTATTATCACCCCGGAATCACAAGTAGCCAAAGCAACTATATATCATTTATTATAAATATTCCAACACAGGATTTTTTCTTCTTCTTCTTCTCACCTTTTAACCACGTGGAATAAACACGGAATTAAATCCTCTGGAATTTGAATGGAAAACCAAACCCTGAAGTTTTCTCAGCCAAATGAAGCACATCCAAAGTGACCGGGGGCCAAATGGAATAAGCTCATCTTTAACTTTGGCTTTCGACGGATTTCATCCAAGTCGCCGGGTTGGAAAGGGAACGTGGAACCATCGCTCTGCAGGCGATAGCCTGAACCCTCTCTCTCTCTCAGCAACAACAAGGGCCAAGGAACTTTATTTTATCCTCATTATACTAGTAATAATAATAACAAGGGACTTCTAATAGAAACAAGGACTATTTTGGTTTCTTAAGACTGTCTTTGCTTACATTTGAGTTGCCTACGGAATCCCGGCTTCTCGTTCAGCTCTTCCTAATAACTACGTCAACCTGGTGAACAGAAGTGTAGGGCGCTGTGGATTGGGGGGGGGGGCAGGCTGACGGGTGTGTGAATGGCTGGAGGTCAGCGGGGGGGCAGAGACTAAAGGCGAGTTTGCTTTTCTATCTGGGAAATCTATTTTAAAGGGAAATTTCACCAGGATTTCATCATGAATCTCATTTTATTTTCTTCTTCTTCATTTTCTTGAAGTCGCTCGGTGCGGCGTCTTCAAAAGAAAAGGACAACGGTTGGCATGAGCCCAGGCTGTCGAGTAATACTCAATATACGACCGTCAGAGGCCAACTAGAGACATTATGCATGTTTGATCAAAACTACATTTAAAAATAAAACATGCCTACCTGCAACACACACACACACACACATGAGAATTCTCCGCTGCTGGTGTGATGAGTCGCTCCCGGCTGAATGAAGGATGAAATCAGCCATCTTTCCTTCAGTGTCGTCTTGATTGTTTGATCTCTTTACCTCTCAGCTGACTCACAAAAGACACACACACACACAAAGACGCACACACACACACACACACACACACTTGCGGCCGACGCCATGACCTCATCTGCTGTCTTGGCGGCGGTGGCAGAGAGCCTCAACCCTCATCACCACATCCCTGAAATGTCACGCCGTAACCGTGGCAACAGTCCCGCCAAACATCCTGCGATCATGATGTCACGTTCAGGGCCGCGCAGTTGGACACGAGTTGTCACAAAGACAAAAAGTGTTTTTTCCACATCCGAGCTAAGAGGGTTAGTGGTGTTTCCCAATACATAAAATGATCTTTATTTGCCTTTTAGCCAGAAATGTTTTACCTCACCGACTGAAAGCAGGAGACGAGGTGTTTGGGATTTGTTTTTTAATTTCTTCATCTTCATGTCGTGGTTCCCAACTTCTAACTGATAAAAGAGTTTCTCTGATGTTCCCTGATGTTAAAACCTCGTAACGAGACTCACGTTTCAGCGCCACTTCAACGTTTGTCAGGCGGCGACAGAGCGTCACAGACTGCAGGTACACCAGAGAGCCGGGGAGTAATCTGGATTCTCTTAGTTACCACGGCAACCGGCCTGCACGTCACCCCCTGTGTGACCAGGGCCGAGGCGATAATCAATCACTCTGATCAAATAATCAGCAATTATTGATTGAGCCATAATACATAATTCAACGCTGTTGAAAGGGTTATACGCTAGATGTGTGTGTGTCTGTGTCCATGTGTGTGTGTGTGTGTGTGTGTGAGAGAGCCACACAGTCTAAAGAGGAACTATGCAATAAAGAAATAAATTGAGCATCATTGAAGACGATGTCTTCTGAAGGGACAGATGGGACCACACAGACACACACACACACGAGGGGTGGGAGGGTTGTTGCATCACATGACGTAGAACCCTTTAGAACAGACCTGCAGACACACTCAACGTAAATTCATTTTTATTTTAAAATCTTGAGATACAAATATTTTGGGGATAAATAACAATATTCATCATTACAAAGATTGCTTCATGCTTTACTTTGGTTACTTTACTGTTAAAAAAACAATGTTTACAAATTATTAATTATAATTGTAAAACTATATATTTTTTTTAAGTCTTCAGTTTGTCATTTTGTTCGTTGCCATCTTGTTTTTTGTGAAAAAGAGAAGTTTATCTGTGAGTGAATTCACAATCTAGCACTAAAACTTGCTATAGACACCTGTCAATCACAGTAAACCCCGCCCTAATCCATCCCCTGCTTCATGGTCTATTAGACACCTGGCAATCATTTGTAGCCCCGCCCCAAACGCCCCCTGTCTTACGGTCTGTTTGACTCTAAATGGACCATAATTCACAAAATGAACATCATGTTGTGTTGAAGAAGACTTGAAACTAGAGACTGAGACCATAAACTCATGTTTACAATGTTTACTGAGGGAATAAATCAATAGAGAAGTAGAGTCATTTCCTCATAGACGTCTATGGGAGCAGAGGAGTCGCCCCCTGCTGGTCACTACAGAGAAGTAGAGTCATTTCCTCATAGACGTCTATGGGAGCAGAGGAGTCGCCCCCTGCTGGTCACTACAGAGAAGTAGAGTCATTTCCTCATAGACGTCTATGGGAGCAGAGGAGTCGCCCCCTGCTGGTCACTACAGAGAAGTAGAGTCATTTCCTCATAGACGTCTATGGGAGCAGAGGAGTCGCCCCCTGCTGGTCACTACAGAGAAGTAGAGTCATTTCCTCATAGACGTCTATGGGAGCAGAGGAGTTGCCCCCTGCTGGTCACTACAGAGAAGTAGAGTCATTTCCTCATAGACGTCTATGGGAGCAGAGGAGTCGCCCCCTGCTGGTCACTACAGAGAAGTAGAGTCATTTCCTCATAGACGTCTATGGGAGCAGAGGAGTCGCCCCCTGCTGGTCACCACACAGAATGCAGCTTTAAGACGCTTCCTCGTGGATCCACTTGTGGTCGACACTGAATACTTTAACTCGTCGGCGAGCTTGAGATCGAAGCCAGAAGTTAAAGCATCGCCGTGGAAACGCACACAAAGTATTCAAAAAGCCACAACAGCTGGGGGAGATCAATAATCAAATCCCAGCATGCATTGTGCTTTTCCGATCTGACTCACTGTTCCTTTGAGAAAAAGACCAACACAGTTTGGCGAGGCTCCTCATCACCCAGTGACACACACACTCACACACACACACACACACACACACACACACATAAATGGCATCATTCAGGTTCCCCTCTCACCTTCTAAAGGGATTTTGAGCTTTAAAAAATCTGCCCTTGTTTCTCCTTGTTCTTTTTTGGGATCTTTCCACACGGATGAATGTGTGACTGTGTTATTTTTCTAGAACCGGACGGCTATAGCGCACGTTGTTGACTCTTTAATAAAGGCATCCTTAGAAAAACTCTGGTCCGACTGGTTATTTGAGCGCCTGTTTTCCCTTTGAAACTAATGGAACCTCCCGTTTGTGCGCGTCGTGTCGGCAGAACGGTACCATTGTGTCTCTTTGCGTCTACGGAGGTTCATATTTAAAAGAGGCAGAGACGAGTCCGTCCTGCTGTCCAGCTGATTGAAACCCTGATTACAAGCCCTCCATTTAAAAGCCAATCAGCTGCTGCAGCTTCACATTGACATGCAGTGATTACGCAGTCTGAACCTGCAGAGCCAGTTGGCTGTTTGCTAAGTCCCGCCCCTTGAGCACCAGCCAATTACAGCAAGCATACCTTTGGCGCTGCTTTTCTTCAGATGGTTTTGACGTTAAATTATTATTATTTTATATATTTTAAGTTTATTTCTTCCTCTTCTGTCTCCAAATCTAAATGATGTTACGGTTCATTCTCCAAAAAATTACGGTGTTTCATTTCAACTGTTTTTTGGCAGATTTGATTTGAATAGGCGCCCGAATACGCGGCGAGGACCTGCTATTACAAACTGCACCGCGTGGAGAGCTTCTCGGCCATAGCAACCGTAACTAAGGGGGTCGGGGGTCAAAGTCCTCTCGAACTCGTTTCATGTAAAAGTGAGAAAAATGTTTATTATTAAATTGTGTTGCGGAACTTCAGCATAATGATTTGGTGTGAGTTCGGAGCCTCTAATCACGCTGACCTCTGACCTCTGTTCACCGGGAAGCTTTCAGCCATCAGCTCGCTGTTCATTTGCGCGTCCGGCCGGCGTGGCTGGAATGAAAAGCCGCCTCTTTGTGCGCTCCGTTCCACGACTCGCTGTGCGACCCGAATGTTTCATTATTTCATTCCAGCTGAAAAGGAGAGCGAGAGATTAGTTCTGTATTTTTAACAAAGCCCTCGCTCGCCCGGTGTGTGGGCCGCACTGCTGAATAAAACCCAGCTTTCATCTCCTTCTCTCTCTCCACATCAAGCTTCCCTCCACCAACTCAGTGTCAAGTTCTGCTATGAGACACACAGCGATCTGTGCGTGTGCGTGAAGCTGGCTGTCCTTTTGGCAGTAAACTGAAGCACCTCTCAGCAAAACTGGACTATTATGGAAATAACACACATCGCTGTATTGCCTCCCTCTCACACACACACAGACACACACACACACCGTGTAACATGGATGTATGTGCTCGCAGGTGCACACGGTACCGCTGCTCCTAATTATGTCCACACGTATAGTTCCTACGTGTGCTCAGTCCGTCTCTTTCAAACAGACATATTTTGCATCATCATTTCATTGTAAATGCGTCATTTCATATTAGTGATTGTGGACTTTTGCAGCACTTATGTGTTGGTTATTACACGTTAATCAACATCTCCGGGCCGGAGATGATCTGCATTGTTGTCACCATTTAGTTATTAATTATTAAGAGCTAAATGCCACAAGAATCACCACGATGTTTAAACTAATATCCACTTAGCAGTATTTGTAGTTGCTATGGTTACTGGGAGTGTAACACCAGCTGGAGTTATTTGTTGGCTTGATGCTCTTTTTGGGGATGAAATCGCGGGCGGGTTTCAATGCTGATTAAGAGGCGAATAACAACGTCCAGCCACCCCGAACCAATCAAGCGCCAGCACGTGTCGCCATTGGCAACCGATCTTGAGTTATCAGAACGCACACGCACACGCACGGAGGGCTCCGTTGACTATTGCATAAGCAGGAGTTGCTGGTGTGGCGCTGTGGCTTCTGGCGTGGCTCCCTCTGGTGGAGGGAAGGAGCCATTACAACACAACCGACGGGCTATAAACAGGATCCATGTGTTTAATTGGTGTTAGAGATAAAAGCAACGCTCTCTGTTTGTGGGTTAATTTGCTTATTGGTGTTTTTTAACCTGGATTACCTGTGAGGACCAGAAACAGGTTTCGGTTCCGTATTTTCCAATTGATCATAGAGGCGTTTTAAAACATCTGTCATCTCAGAAGAATCTCACATGTTCAGAAAAATGGATTAAAAAGTATAAAACATTCTCGTAACATGTGGTAGAATAATATGCACAATATTTTCCTTCAAAAGTATAACATAGCATAAAAAGGGAAAAACTAAGGCGAAGGCCAAGTAACTTGAATGTGTTTTTAATTCAACTACTTGAGTAAAGACACAATAGATTTCACCACCGCCACCCACCTCCTTATATAAATAATAATGAACGATGAAATAATGAACGATCTTTAGGCTCTTAAGTAATAAACCTCTCTGTTATTCTGCCCGCTGGCCCTCCTCGGCCTCTGATTGGTCCAGCTGCTGCCACTTCTACCGTTCTGATTGGCCCTCAGCTCAAAGCGGAAGTACTCGCTTTGCTGCAGCTGTGATGAACCAGGAAAGGATGTAGAACCCGAACAAAACGTTCATTTTAACGTACAAACCGACTTTCACGCGTAGATAAAGACTCGGACGAAGGGGACGATATGATTTTAGGGGCGTGTGTGTCGTTTTTCTGGATAATATCGTCGGTGGGAGCAGCTAAGACCGCAGGGGACGATGACTGGGTCTATCTGCCCAACAAATGTGAAGGTAACCGCGGCCGTTAGCATCGCCTGGTGCCCGATCCAGGGTCCACGGACCGGAACGGGGACCGGAAGACACGTGACTGTATTTAATCTGTCAGCTGTGCTGTAACTCATGAAAACATACTGGATGTCACCACAATAATCTGTGTTTACATTCGGCTGGCTGGAACGTGTCAACAACCTCCTTTAAATGTCTTATTTTTAACACAACTCGTGCTGTTAAACACAACGATGTTTTATTACGTTCCATTTTTTCAGTAAATCTCTCTATTTATTAATAAAAATAAAATAAAAAATGTATATATTTGGTTTTAAACATACTCTTAATTTGAAAAGTAAATATGAACTAGTTAAATTTGGTTTTATTATTTTAAACCGATTTTTACATTTCTGCCCCCCCCCCCCCTCCAGTCTGTAAATTCGTCAGCATCGAGATGAAGTCGGCGTTCGATGAGACGGGGAAGACCAAGGAGGTCATCGGCAGGAACTACGGCTTCATCGACAGCAAGGGGGCGCCGCCCATCAAATACGTCAAGTCGTGAGTGTTGTTGTTGTTGTCGTCGTCGTGCAGGTTTGAATGAACAACATGCAGCTGAGCCCCCCCCCCCCTCCCCCCCCTCCTTACCCCCCCCCACAGAGACCTCCGATTCATCGAGGTGGTAGAAAACGTGTGCCAGAGGCTGTTGACCTACAATCTGCACAAAGAGAGAAGTGGAAGTAACCGCTTTGCCAAGGTGTGTGTGTGTGTGTGTGTGTGTGTGTGTGTGTACGAAGGAGCTCGTTGTGAATCTTTAACACGTTGGAGCTTCTTTAATCTTTTGGATCCAACCGTTCAATGCAAAACGTCGTCGTACATTTGTAAATAACTTTTACATGGTGTAAGTTAGCTGGTTGAAGGCCGTAAACAGGAAGCCCGCGTGTGGTCGGTCTGCAGGGCATGTCGGAGACCTTCTCCACCCTGCACGGGCTGGTGAACAAAGGCGTGAACGTGGTGATGGACATCCCCTTCGAGCTGTGGAACGAGACTTCGGCAGAGGTGGCCGACCTCAAAAAACAGGTGACCAATCGGATCAGATCGTTGAGGCTTTATTTGTGTACTTTGTATTCTCTAGAAAAAGAACAACTTATATATTATACAGTATTTCTGTGTATGTGTGTGTATTAAGTGTATTTGTAGAATGAGACTCGTGTGTGTTTCAGTGCGACGTGATGATCGAGAGGTACGAGGACGTGATTGAGGACTGGTACAAAGGCAGCCAGGAGGAAGACCTCACCACGTACCTGTGTGAGAAGCACGTCCTCAAAGGGCAGGACGCAGGTAGAAAACACGCGAGGACACGCGTCCTATTCTGTGTTTCACTTCCCTTTAACCTCCAGCTCTTCTTCTACTATTCCGTCTCCGTCCAGCCTGCCTGGACGAGGAGTGGAGCCCGATGAAGAAGGGCGACCAGGCGGCCCTGGCCGAGGACAAGAAGAAGAAGAAGAAGAAGAAAAAGAAGGCGGGCAGGAAGGGAGAGGGGGGGGACGACGGGGAGAAGGCCACGAAGAAGAAGAAGAAGAGCGAGAAGAAGGCCAAGAAGAAGAAGAAGAGCAGAGCTCCGGTGGAGCGGGCCGACGGGGGGGCGTTGTCAGGCGAGGAGATCCACCCGCCGGTCCCTCTCTCTGGGGCCAAGACGGAGCTGTGACCCCCCCTTCTCCCCCTCCCCCTCCCCAACCCTCACCCCCCCCGAATCAGCTGTTTCATTCAACGGTTCCGTTACGTTTAGATTTGTTCTTTTTCGGCTTCTAACGGCTTCGTTTTCATGATGCTCTTATAGACCCCCCCCCCCTGCCCCCCCCGAACAGATCACATATTGATCACGTGGCTGGAACCGCTTTTTTTTCTTTTTCTTATATCTTCTTCCTCTGCTCATTGTAGATTTTTGCATTTAATGCATCAAAATGTGAATTTGTATGTTTTGTTTTCTCATTTGCTGTTGGTTTGTTCCATCGTAAAAAAAGTGGGACGTTGTTTTTGGGTTCATTATTTTGTTTTCTGTTCCTACAGAAACACTCAGATTGTGTCTCCTGAGGCCGTATGTATTGATTTTCTCTTTAATATCTTAATATTCGCAGATGTTTTCTACCGGTAGAGGATTATTGATCCTCTTTACGGAGTCAACACAACATGCAAACTTTTCCCTAAACGTCAGAGATCTCCGCCCATGTCCTTTCTTTTCCAATTATTGTGTGTGTGCGCGCGCGTGTTTGCTGCACAACAGCTGCTATTTAAGATGTATGTATATGTGTGTGTGTATGTATGTATATGTGTGTGTGTGTGTGTGTGTGTGTGTGTGTTTGTTTACAGTTTTTTATTGAGGTAAAATGCTGCCTGTGTTTATTGGAGCTGCTTTTTTGACCCCATGAACCAACACATGGATCAATAAAAAGTTGTGACTGTTCTCTGGTTTAAAGTGTCATTTTATATCAGTCACAGTGTTACTGACCATCTCAACGTGTATTCTAATAAGAACAAATAAGGTTTCCATTCAGTGCCGCAGTAAGTTTTCACTGTAAAGTAGGTGTGTCCAGTACGTTGGACAGACGACGACGTGTTTACGTCACCTGGTCGTCAGGTCAAAGCGCCCGCGCCGCACGCTGCTCTTCCTTTCCTCGTGGTGCTCCAGCGCAGGTGAGTCGCTTGCCGCCGCGGCTACATTTGTTTCTCTTTTGGTTATTGTTGTGTATCTCACTTCACCTGTAAGGGAATCGGCTCGCGTTGAGGGTTTCTAATGATTCTCATCTTCTCAGTCGAGAGCCGCGCGTAAGAAATAAGGCTAGCGGCCCAACACGCTAACACGCTGACATGCTAAACGCTAACATGCGGCAACACGTGGAGCTCGCGTTGCAGAATACAGCTGCTCTCCCAAAACAAACGAAGCTTCGTTTGTTTATGAATTTGTTTATTAAACGGTTCAGGCCGCTTTCTGTTTCACTTTGTTACACAAACGATCTGCTCGCGGCTACTTTGGCCCTGTTTAGTTGCTCCCACGTTGGATTACATCAGCACCTTCCCGCCAAAAAAACCCCTGTCTACTTAGGGTGACGCACCACAGAACTACAAACTGGACCTTAAAGTTATGAGCTAAAGAGGTTGTAGAGTAAACTCACTGTACTATCTGTAGAGAAAATGTATAGTATTTACTATATAATAC